CAAAACACACGTTGTTGGACTGAGTAATCTATGAAAGTTCAAACGGATGTTGAAATAATGTCTCAAAGCAAAAAAAATAAATAATTTAAATAATTATTGATGAAAACTAACAAACTTCTCATAGAAAAAATGACGTTCCAGGAAATTATTAATTTAAAACTTATTTGTGACAGGCGCCTACTTGATTAATAATTAGCTTAAATCCCAAAGACTATGGAAGATATTCCCATAGAGAACAACTTATTTAGTTATCTCGTAGGGAATTTATTAATAAAATAAAATGGGTACTCTCTAAAAGTGAAACAGTGAAATTTTCACTATTTCCGTCAGTGAGTTATTATTCACTGTAAAATTAGTGTTTTTCAATATAAATTAGTGAAATTTTAACTTCTCCAAATTAGTGTTTTTTATTATCACTACTTTTCCGGAACTCTCGACATAAAATAGTGAAATTTTAACTTTTTTGAACTAAACCTATTTTACTAATTTGTACAGTGTAATTTCCACTAAATAAAATAGTGAGTATTCACTAATTGCTAGTGGTATACTTATCACTGCGGCAAATAGTTAATATGCACTGTCAATCAGTGAAAATCCACTGTTTCATTTTTAGAGAGTAGTCTATTATGGGGAACCCTGTATAAATTTGCTGCTACACACTTTCAGTATCGCTCTCTATTATTCCGAATTTAAAACAAAAACTTTTATCAAAATCCACGTGCAAAAATATTGATTTTCATAGCGCTCGATCGACGATGTGAGAGTAACGCGGCAGGTGAGACTATATGGGCTTGTCAGGACGTAAAATACGAGGAACCAGTTGCTTTCTCCTCGTACTAGCATGCGGCAATACCATCTATACCATGATAAGTGACTTAAAACACCGAATTCTACCTTGCAATTTTTCGACTTTTGGCCAGGTCGGAAAACCACCACTGTGCAATGTGGACAAAATATTCTATGCTCAAGAAAACCCTGCGAGTACACAGTAAAAAATATTTGTTAATTTTAACTAAATGTTAACTAGATTTTATGTTAATCCAGATCCACATAACTATATGTAAAGTTTACAACCAACTGTAATCTGTTAAGTAATTGAATAAGTAGTTTGTAATTATAACAAACATTTTGTAGATTTAATAACAAAATCCTGTCAATAATTCAACCATAATTCTTGTAATGTTAAAAAAGGACCTTATTGGTTAACCCAATAAAGTCTTTTTTTTTAATAAGTACTTTTTAATTATATAACAAAGATTTTTTAGATTTAATAACAAAATCCTATGTCAATATTTTAACCATAATTCTTGTAATTTTGTATTTTTACAAACCTTTTTGTAGACCTAGTAACAAAAGTATTTTTTGTAACTCTCGGAAGTTAAATGAAAAGAATTTTGATAAGAAATGTTGCTTTTTTAGTCAATTTCCTAAACAAAAAAATTAACACATACCTGCATAAATGAACTCAAAAAAACATACACACAATTAAATAACATAATTCTGAAATCAAATTTTAAAGATATTTGGTACAATATAATTTATCCGTGCTACTACAACACTTACTGATGTAATTATTTCGTCTCCGCTTTTCTTTAATTTCGTTCGTGTTTCTCGCCAGCATCGATAAACAGCTGTTTGGTGTTGTATGGTGCGGAACACAAACAAAATTAAGATTTCTCGTCCTTATAAAGGTTTTGAAATCATTCACTGTGGTGAGGTGGAAGTAAGTGGTGCCATCTACCTTCTTAAACATATGTAAAACATAAAGAACATGTCAAAAGACTGTAGATGGCACCACTTACTTTCGTCTCACCGCAGTGAATGATTCCAAAACCTATATAAGGACGAGGAATCATAATTTAGTTTGTGTTCCGAACCATACAGTTAGTTAAACTTGAATGAAAAATATTTTGATTGACTGCCTGAAATCACGTACTTTTTTAACGAAATAATTTGTTAAGCAATAACAAAATAATCTGTAAACTTTAAAATTAACAAAATGCTTAAAAAATTCATATTACCTTTACAAAACTTTCGGTAAAATATTTTCCTTTGTTAAAATAATTACAAACCCTTGTTTTCTACAAAAAATTATTTTAAAATTTTACAAAATAAAATTAACAAACTACAAACTCATGTTAACAAATCTGATTTTTATAACAGTGTACAAGAGAGCGTCAAAATTTTAAAATTTTCTAAGCTCAATTCATTTTTTAAAAGTTCTTCTTGAACTCACAAACAGATAAAAGGTATTCATATTTAATATTAATGTAAATTTAATCTAAATAAATAAATAGTGAATATCCACAGTGTCTTATGGATGGTGTATAAGCTAGTGTGTTTTTACACAAATCAGTATAATTATGCTCTTTTAATATGTGACTTTCGGATAAAGTCACTTATTAAGTCATATATTGAGTCAATTTTTAAGTACTTAACAAGAGATAGGGTAAATATATTTTAGTTATATATATTAAGTCTATTAAACACTAAATTTTTACCTAATGTTACATAACACTGTAACACTTGTTCCGGGCTCTTCACTCGGAAAAGGTCAACTCGAGACTTACACTGGACTGCATCAAAACCCTCGAACTACTCAGTGTGCTCAACAAGGTTAACCTTATCTGGGTACCGGGTCATCGAGGCATCAGAGGCAACGAGGAAGCAGACCAGCTGGCTCGTGAGGGCAGCAACACGGCCTTCACTGGGCCAGAACCTGTCATAGGGGTCGCCTCCTGTCTGGTAAAAACCAAGATCAGGAACTGGACTAACGACCAGTTCCAGAACAAATGGCGTGAACAACAAGGCCTCAGGCAGTCTAGGGTCTTTATAAAGAGTCCTACTACATGCAAAGAGGCAAAAAGATTCCTGAAACTTAACAGGAACCAGCTGAGAACCATCACAGGAGTCCTAACAGGACACTGGGTAGTCAAATATCACCTACACAAAACCGGACTCAGCAACGAGACGGACTGTAGGTACTGCAGCGAAGTAGACGAAACTACCGAGCATATAGTCTGCGAATGCGACGCTCTAGTCAATAGTAGACTAAGACACCTAGGGGACAGATACTTGGAACCAGAGGAAATAATGCATGCCCGACCAGAGCGGGTCTGCGCTTTTCTTAAAAGCTGCGGGCTCGTAAGGTAAGGCAGGGCTTCACCAAAAGGGGGTTTGCACAATGGGCCGTATGTGTGCCTAAGTGCTGCCTGCAAAGGCTTCAAATCAATTATCAACACTTGTTGTGTAAATCTAAAAAATCAAAACAATTTCACATTTTCCGGTTTTTAGTGATACTTGGGTGAATATCCAAAACGGGGATAAATTGGGGTGGTAAAAAAATAAAAAGCAAAGATTAATAAAACACTAGCAAAATAATACCTCAATGTGTATTTCTTAATAACATAAAGTAATTTCAAGGCGGCTATAAATTAAACTTAATACTTTTCTATTATTTAACAAAAAATAAATGAGTCCATGGAGTTGACGTTCTGAACCATGGAGTTGACACAATAACATAAAAACAACATAAATCTAACCTTGTACTGCCTGTTCTGTTGATTTCTGAATTAGATAAGATAACGGCAAATCATCTTCTGAATCTGAATAGATGTCAGAAAAGAACCATCTTTTAGCAAATGTTTGCAAATTATTTTTAACATAAAAATTTCCTAATCCATAATGTTCACAATCGTTTTGGAATGCACAGTCCAAGCAACTTATTCGACGAAGATTTGCAGAAGATGGCCTCGATATTCCAGCACAACTGATTACTTGCATCGTTTCCTTAAAGGTCTTTAGGTTAGAAGGTATCACTTTGTCGTATTCAGTTATTTGTTCTCCATTTACAATTTCAATCTGTATAGCAGGGCATGATTGCTTTAAATTATACATAAGTTGATCAAAATTAGAAATATCATGTCCATAGGCAACTAATTGATCAGCAGTTCTCTTAAGATATCCACCAACCCCATCTACAGCTCCCTTGCCGTGACCGCTTTCAAAATAATTCCACAAAATTTCTTCCACTTCAAGTATCTCCGCTAGCTTTGTGCCGACTAAATAAAACAGGCTTTTGTACTGGGTACTAGGGCCGTCACTGCAAAAGTGCACTCTGTTTAACAATGGCATCCTTTCTTTGATGGTTTTTATGAGTGGTAATAAATGAGCTATTATAGAGGCAGGATCATGCCGAAGATTTTCTGAAAAACTGCAGAATGTTTCTGGCTTGATCTCTCCATCAAAATTGCGATACCAGACCACTGTCAGCATGGATTAAAGTTTTAGTTTCATGTTGTAATTTTCTTTTTATATCTTGTATCATTTTAAACTGATGTTTCATCTTCGAAACATGAGATATAGATTTGAGCAAGGAATCGGTCAAAGCCTTAACTATGTTGATTTTAGTACACTTTATTTCTTCCTTAATCATCTTTTTACACTTCTTTTCTACACCTTTCACATTAACGACAAAATTCTTAAAACCCCATTTTTTGTAAGATGAATACTTCTTTTCTTCAAAGTGGTTCAATGTAATTTGTATATCTTTATAAGTAACACATGTTCGTTCTAAACATTTTTCTTCTAGTTTACAACAAATACTCTTTATAAGGTGATCGGGGTTATTTTCGTTTATAATTTGCAACAGTTTAATTTTTGTAACAAGAAGGAGCATATTCTCATGAATCATGCATAGGCAAGTTTCTCGCTTAGCAGCCGTTGGCGTTACAACCCAAAATGGTCTAAGCTTACAAAATCTTGCGTAACTTATTTGATAAGTTCCTTTGTTTTCAGATAGAAATTTGGCGTGTACTTATTTTAAAGAACTTGATAGATAACGCTTTTGTTTCTTATTTTTCCTTACTGTAATTGTGGACACATTCTGCTGTAATCGTCTCTTTCATAAAAGTTTTTAACGGTCTTTATTAACTCAGAACCAAATGGCTTTCTTTTATTTAATAATTTTTTTGAACTACGGTTACGCACCCTTTGAAAACCTAAGAACTGTTTTGCCCCGTTTTTAATCGGTATTTCTTAATAAAGTCTCCAGAAACGTATTGTATAAATTGCTTTTTCTTTTTCGCGCTGTAACCTAGGTTCCTAAAATTATGCTGAAGTTGAGTAAACAGGACTTCTCCAAAGAGCAATCGTGGCTGAACTTCTTTTGTAACCTTTTGACCTTTTATTAGGTTAGCTACTTTTTGCCTTGGAGAACTCTTATTGGAATCGAAAAGTTGCCTTCTCAGTCTGTAATATTTTGTTTTGTAACGTGATGCTTTTTTTCTGTAGTTGTCTAGTTCTCTTTCCGCCTTTTTTAGTTTTCTTACTGTTTGTGAACGCTTTCTAAGAGTTCTTTTTCTTCCTGCGGCTGATCTTCCCGAATAACCTAGCATGTTTCTATGTTCATTATGTTGAAGAACCTTAAAAGTAGTTGGCGCAGCTGGAGGTGTGATTTCCTTTACAAATTCCATAAGCTTTTGGTGCTCATTTTTCCTTTTTCGGAACTGCATGGAGGCCTGTCTCCAACGCTTCCTTACTTGTCGTTTGTCTTTTTCATTTAGGTCGTTTATAATTTTAATTTTCCCTCATTTCTTCGCTGGTGATATCTTTTCCGTTCCTTTCTCTTTGCTTCTTCGTATAAATGAGTATTTAACCTTATCTTGTCTCTCCTCTTCTGCTCATACAATTTTTTCTGCTGTCGCAGTTTTTTTAATTTGTTTTTATTTATTGGAGCCATTTCTAACTGTATGACTTAAAAAATATGCTTGTCAACTTGACATGGGGTGGTTTTATTGTCTGTCGTTGGGATATCCGGCTATCCGGCTTCGATTCTTGCCGGATATTCTGGATCCGGTGTCTGGCCAAACAACTATCCATTTTATCTCTATATGTATATGCTGTATATTAGGGTGTTTCAAAAAAATCGACTTTTTCTTTTTCTTTAAATGGTCGGCAAATTCTTTCAGAGGATGTCAACACAAAGACCTCGTCAAAATTTGAGCTTTTAATTTGAAGATTTAGAGGTCGCGGATCGCAATTTTCTATTTCCCATTTAAATAACATGGGAATTCTTTTTTTTTTAACTTTGAAATTTTATACGTCTGAATCAAATCAACTTATGTCAAGGATCATCTTAGATTTTCATAGTAAATTTAACGCTCTACAAAAATGGTCTCCTATCATTTTTCTATAAATTGATTCCTTCCAGAGTTATTCGAGGCCAAAGTTTGATTTCCATCGAATTTTCGCGTTTTTTTAACATTTATGGTACAATTATCATTATACGGGTGTCCCGAAATCAGGGGGCCAAACTTAAACAGTGCATTATTCGTATAAAAATAACACTTTTTTTGTTTAATAAACATCAAAAAATGCTCCCTAAAGGAGCTACGGCCCCCTGAATAGGAGCCTAAGAGGATAATTTTTTTTAAAACTATTCCTATAGAGGGTTGAGCATGAACAAATGAATTTTCGGTAGGTACTTTGGTAATTTTGACATGCTGAATCTAGATCTATGATCAAAACTGTTAAAATTTAATCATAGGCGTAACATTTGGAGGGGGCAAAGTTACAAAAATAGCCCCAACTTTTTTCTGGGTTAATAATTTTTTTTTTTTTATGAAATTATGAGAATTTATAGTTTTTTACGAAAAATAGGTACTCTTGATTTGAATTGCTCAGATGCACCATTTTCGAGAAAAATGCATTTATAAATAAATTACTTTGCATATTATACACATATCATATTTTCATTAAAACTTTGTAGTAGGCTTTGGAAAAAAGTGACGTTTTTTTGTTTTTTTGTTTTTTTACAACACTTCCTATGTTCCAGATATAAATATGTGATTTTTTTACTACATGATGCTAAAAGTTGAAAAAACGAGAAAATTCGATGGAAATCAAACTTTGGCCTCGAATAACTCTGGAAGAAATCAATTTATAGAAAAATTATAAGAGACATTTTTTATAGAGCGTTAAATTTACTATAAAAATCTAAGATGTTCCTTGCCATAAGTTGATTCGATATAGACGTATAAAATTCCAAAGTTAAAAAAAAAAATTTCCTATGTTATTTAAATGGGAAATAGAAAATTGCGATCCGCGACCTCTAAATCTTCAAATTAAAAGCTCAAATTTTAACGAGGTCTTTGTTTTGACATCCTCTGAAAGAATTTGCTGACCATTTGAAGAAAAAGAAAAAGTCGATTTTTTTGAAACACCCTACTGTATATAGTTATAATAATAATACTATTAAAGAATTTTTTTAAAGAAAAATTAAATTTAATTTATTATAATTTAACTATATATTATTAATTATCGTTAATAATGCCTTAACTTATATGAGCTAAGAGTTTAGGACAATAATAAGAAAGTAAACAACTCCATGGACATACCATTTAACTCCATGGAGTTGATGTTTTTATAGTTAAAGTCACAAACTTTAGAAAATGTTTTAGTTAACTGTAATTTAAGCAAAGCATATTTGGTTATTTCACCTGGAGAAAGTTTAAATTTCAATTGTATTTAAATCCCTTTGTTATTAAAGACATGGAGTTGATCTTTAATAAAAATACTTACCCGTTTTTTCGCAAATAATTGTTCTTTATAAATTTTTATTAAATATTACACCCCTTTTGCCTTGCTTACACAAATCAACACTAAATCACTCAAACGACGATGTCTTCAAACATTACTAAAATACGTTTTATACAGGGGATTTATCATATATTAAAAGACTGCAAAGAACTCAGCTGTAAAATGGTGTCTCATGCTTTATTCGACATTTTGGGTTAAAATATCAATAAGTTTGCTTTTGGTTGTGTTTTTTTATACATTCCAAGTTAGAGGAAATGCAATATGAAAGAATTATTTCACAATTGCATCTAGTCTAATAGTATATGGATGATTTGTTGTCCCTAGGGAGTTGACTTTAAAGCGTTTAAGCAAATTCAAATTAATAAAATAAATAATGTTTTATTTTTTGGTTAAGTACGTTCTACTGCTAGACATAAACTGTCTATTGCAGTGTTATTTAAATGTCAACTACTTTTATTAGTATATTTTATTTAAGAGTTTCAGCATATTTGCTCCGTTCTGGAGAATCACCCACTTAAATTATTTATACTAATATGGAACGCCGTTGTATTTTTTAATCAGGAATTTCTAATATCACTTTTGAATTTCAGATATCTGAAATTAATTTCAGATATCTAAAATTATAGGTATTAAAAAGTACTTTGGCGTTCCGTTAACGCCAAAATATTTTTTAATCAGGAATTTTTGTTGTAACTTCAACTAATAGTCATATTTGTAATTACAATTAATTGTGTCAACTGTTTTAAACAATATTTATAATTCAACTAATTTTAAACTTAAAAATAATGTGGAATTAAAAATATCAAAGTGACCCTAAAATTAAAGTCAATTTTTAATTCAAAGTGATATTTGTAATTCACAGGAATTATCGATATCAAAGTGACCAGAAAATTCAAGTTAATTTTTAATTCAAACTCATATTCATAATTCGCATGAATTATAAATATCAACTTGAATTTTTAATTCAACTTATTTTCAACTAAAAAATGATGTAGAATTAAAATATAAAAGGGAAACTAAGAATTATTTGATATTTTTAAATGAAAGACATATTTTTAATTCTCACAGTTTGGACACCCCTGGTAATGTTGACGGTTCAATTTATCTACTACAGTAGGTATATTTGCCTTAATATCAGTTCAATTATTTTGCGGGACTATTTGTTTATATAATAATGTTTTTATTAATACTTACCTATGTAGTAAATATACCAACAATTTTAGCTTCGTTCCCGGCAGAGATAAACCTAGATAGATTTATCTAGGGAGATAAAGAAGGTTAGGTTTCCCGTCGGGAAATTCTCGCATTGTCAAATTTGTAGTAGTTCAACTGACTCAGTTGACCTACTTAACGATTTATAAGAATACCTGTGTAAATATTTAAAATATTAGGTAATTTAATTAATATTAATTATTATGCCTATTATTAATAAAAACAGTGCCGCAAAATAATTTAACTGAGATTAAAGCAAATATACCTACTGTAGTAGATAAATTGAACCGTCAGCATTACCAGGGGTGTCCAAACTGTGGGAATTAAAAATATGTCTTTCATTTAAAAATATCAAATAATTCTTAGTTTCCCTTTAATATTTTTAATTCTACATCATTTTTTAGTTGAAAATAAGTTGAATTAAAAATTCAAGTTGATATTTATAATTCATGCGAATTATGAATATCAGTTTGAATTAAAAATTAACTTGAATTTTCTGGTCACTTTGATATCGATAATTCCTGTGAATTACAAATATCACTTTGAATTAAAAATTGACTTTAATTTTAGTGACACTTTGATATTTTTAATTCCACATTATTTTTGAGTATAAAATTAGTCAAGTTATAAATATTGTTTAAAATAATCGATACAATTAAAACTATGACTAGCAGTTGGAGTTGCAACAAAAATTCCTGATTAAAAAATACAACGGCGTTCCATATACTAATGTATACAGATTAGTGACTTTGAGAAATAAAATCGAATAAAAGCACACTATTTACCTAATTATAATGTTTTAATATAAACAAAATAATATATTTGCATAGTAAGATTTGAGATACACAAATAAATATTTATGATGGCAAAAATGCTTATTATTATTCAACTTGATCTACTATTAGAGACAACATTGTTATTGTAGCATAGGATTATATTTGTTAAGGACGCTTTTCACGTACAAGGTCTTTTTCGATATTCATGTTGCGTTACGATATAGTCAGCGAAAATAAAATGGCTTTTCGTGTGTGAACTGCACCATATGGAGATAAATGAACTAACATGTCACAAATACCTACCTATCTTTTCTCACTGAATGTATCCATTGAAAAAATAAATAAAAAAATATCCTGATGTTTCCTAATTTTTTGACATTTTACCAAAATTTTTTTCTATAATTTTGTACGCTGTTACTGTTACTTGGATATAAAATTTTTGATCTGGATGAAAGTGAACCATTTTAAAAAATAAATAAAAAACAATTTAACATCATAACTATTATTTCAAATAGACCTGCATAAATGTAATATTTTATTAAATAACAGCAATTTGATAAACGCCATTCTACGACAAATACTTAATATTATCTAACCGTTCTTGGAAATCTGTATTACCGGCGCGCCAGTAAAGTGTCAAATTTGTGTTAATCGAAATGTATTCCTTAAAAATAAACTTACAACAGTTTTTCACATTAAAAGTGAAGGAAGGTGTCTCCACCAGAATTTAAATATAGTTTACTCCTGGCGAAATTAAAAGGCGTTGAGAAACTATTTAATACTTGTATTTGTATTAACATAATAAAATAGTTTTTAGATTTTGTAATATTTTACAAGATGGGTACCTACTTTATTTTAACGATTGTATGACGTTTGACAAATGTCAACTACCTTAAAACTAACTTCAGTCCATGACTAAAAACCTG